AGCGCGTGAAAGTTTTGGCGCGAAAATTGCTAACTCGGGAACGAGAAAAGCTAGAAAGCTGAAACCATAGGGTAATGTTCCCTACCCGTGTATGACAAAAAGATTTCAAATTCAATTGCCCAGGACTGCCCGGGGCTTACGTACGGGTGCGTGAAAGTTTTTGGCACGAAAATTACTAACCCAGGAACGAGAAAAGCTAGAAAGCTGAAACTTTAGAGTAATGTTTCTTACAAATGTACGACCAAAATGAGGTATTCAGAAGCACCCGAGCCTACGTGCGAGAACGTGGAAATTTTAGCGCGGAAGTCACTAACCCGGAAACGAAAAAAGCTAAAAAGCTGAAACTTTGGGTGAATGTTCTCTACTCGTGTACTAGCAAAATCAGGTGTTTAGAAGCGCCCGGGGTGTTTAGAAGCACGTGGAAATTTTGGCGCGAAGGTCACTAACCTGGAAACGAGAAAAGCTAGAAAGCTGACGGGAATGTTCGCTACTCTTGTACAACCAAAATCAGTTGTCTGGAGACGCCCGAGACCCACGTATGCCACATGTGAAAGTTTTGGCGCGAAAATTATTAACCTGAGAACGGAAGAAGCTAGAAAGCTGAAACTTTAGGGGATTGTTTTTTACTCGTGTACGACCAAAATCAGGTGTTTAGAAGCGCCCGCGCTCAAGTACGATCACGCGGAAATTTTGGCACCAAAATCACTAACTCTGGAACGAAAAAAGCTAGAAAGCTGAAACTTTTGGGTTATGTCCCCTACTCATGTATGACCAAAAGATTTCAAATTCAGCTTCTTAAAACCGTCTGGTATTCAAGTACGAAAACGGAAAAATTTTGATGGGAAAACTGCTAATTCGAGAGGGAATGTTCCCTACTCCTGGTCAAATTTAACTTTTCTAGTGCGGCCTTTTTTGCGGACCAGCAACTTTCCATTTGTCGAGTTCTGAAGTCGACATCTACAACTGGCATGCCACATAGCTGCACAATTAACTTCCCAAACTTCAAGGGCCAGTACGTCACAGAGTTAGCTACTGCGATTAGCTGCGAACTTGCTACGGCACGAAAAGTACAAAAATGCGTGATCGCACCGGCCCGTCTGGTAATTGTGCATTTCTTGTATTAATTGTGCCCATCCTTTGTGCATTTTTTGGACCTTCTTTTTTGTGATTTACCTATTGATGCATTTGTGGCAATGTCTAGCCTGAAAAGTTAGCTTTTGACATGGAGCCTGATGCATAAATGACTTATTTAAAACGGAAAATTAAAGATTTTAGGAAAACTGTAACCGGTAATTTGCAGAAGTCGGGTCTTCAGCAGGAGTATGGCAAGGAGGGCGATGTAATCCTTTTATTCAACCTTTTTCGGTAGGCAGATCAGTGCGTATCGTTATTAATTTCAGAAGTTGTGCTGATTCTCCGTTTTTATCGTCACTGATTCAGCACTATCTAGTAATGGCCAAACAATATATAAAAGATATGACAGTGGCAGATTTCGCGAAGGAAAATGGTTTCATGGAAAGCCAGGTTTGTGTTGGTTTCTGCAGCATAGTGAACATTTTATCCAATTGGGTCAGTTTTGTCCATATCTTTTTTTTGTTCAAATTAAACTCTCGTTTGTTCAAACTCGTCTCATAAATAACTGTTTTATGGCGCTGGCTAAATAGGAGCTTGCAGTTGAAGGCGCACAGCCTGACGTAGTTGCCCCTCCCAGGAAAATTACTAATATCGAAATCCAAAAGTATATGTCTTCGCGAATACAACTTTATTCTGAAAAAAAAAAATCCTTTAGGTCACGAGATAACGCAGGCAAAGCAGGTAGTAATTCACTTTTATTTGCAAACTATAGAAAGGCTAAGTAGTATGTAAAAAAACTCCTAATACATCATATTAATTACCATAAATCGTGGCGTTACATGGGAATTCCGTAGAATACAAGAGTTCTGTACCGCATGCATTAACAGACGTATTATAAGGGAAAGGTTTTGTTTCTTTTTAGTGAGTTGATTGATTTATATTCAAAAATCACAAAATCGAGGAATGAAATCGATTGGCTTTCAGGAAATTATGAAAAACAGTAGAACGGGTCGGATATCTTAGTGTAATGCTCAAGTCACTTTTACAGATCCCGATGACTCAAGCATTCGCACCGGGTCCATCATCAGCAGCCCCGGTGTTGCTTCAGAGGAATCGCCAAGAGGTTTTAATTTTTGCCTGCACATTCATTTAATTTACTGGGCACTAATCTTCTAATCTGCATTGTTTCCCTTATTGTTCTGTTTGTTTACAGAGAGTTATCGATGTGGGATCGTCAATGGCCGGGACATCTACAAGGAAAAGAGTGAAAAAATCTATTGACAAACTATGTAAAAATAGGAAAATGTCTCGAATCGATGAAGAACCTGGTACTGAGGCTGCAGGTAGCAGCACAGACATTTGCTTGACCACGACATCGAGAGCTGTGGATGTGGCTTGTAACACACACTTGCCTTCGACAGCGGGAACTGCAGATGCGGCTTGTAACACAGACCGGATTCCTGTAGTGGAAACTGCAGATATGGGTTGCAATACGAACCCGCTTCCTGCAGTAAAAACTACAGATGTGGCTTGTAACACGGAAGCGGTGATTTCCTCTGGAGAGGCTCAAATATCGTCTTTCCGCGAAACAACCGATGAAGAAATGGAGGAGGCTGAGATTCAAAGTGATCGCCAAAAGATGCGACTGTGCAGTGAGCATAGCGAAGTGGATATGCCGGAGATGATCGACCATGGTGTCCAAGTGGAACTTTTAGCCGGAAGTGATATTCAGCAGGGATCCGCGCTACATCCTACGGAGATTCTAGCGCATGTAGAAGCAGCTGTAAATGCATTCCATAACAGAAGTTAGTTATTTCAACTCTTTTCTTAAGCATTTGAAGCAGTTTGTTAAAAATTTGATCTGGAAACAAAAGCTCTCGCTTCTGTTACTGTTTTCCTA